ATCAAGAATGGCAGGGTCACAGAACCCGGCGGCACGTCAAAGCCCTCAGTTGTTGTGGCCTGTAGATAAACGCCATGGACCTCAGAGCACTGGATCCTGCACTCCAGGGAATTGATATGGCTGTGGACGAAAACCTGGAGTCCTAAACCCTCTTAGCTTGACCTCCCTAGTAGTTCTGTTCATTTTCGGTGATCAACCCGGGTCCCCCCGATTTTGACCCCACAACCATGTGATATTAACAATGTGTTTGAACTTATGATGTTACCCGGCATGCTTCGAAGTTCAATCACCGTCTTTCCCACGGGTCAAATGAATGAAAGAAGTCCACTACAGTGCCGACAGAGGTGACTACATCATCAATTCGAGCTAGGTGGCAACGGCTGGCAGCCACTTGTTGCGGCTATTGCTCCAAACCTTTGCGGGCACTGGTTGGTTTTCCACAGCCCCAACGCAGAGATATGATAGTCCGCCTCGACATTCTCACCTACGACAAAGTCGTTGGCAGCAAGCACTTTGGCTGGTTTGGCCTGTCAAACTTCAATGTCGATCTCTCGACTCATGCGAGTCCTCTTATATAAGGTAACTCATTTTAGGTCGCAAGAAACAAAGGAAAAGTTACGTAATCATTTGACAACATGCACTTCAGCAAGTGCACCTCAGAGTATCCAGCCATCAGCTTTTCAGGTCATGGGCTGTCTTAGATCGCACCTGCCTGCCCTGATGGCTTTTTAGGTTGCACATGGTGTTCAAAAAACTACATTAACCGAGGCTGTCTTGGATCTGCTGCCCTACTCTAAGCACATATGTAGCAGCCGCTGGTAGTTTAAACATATGCATATGTTTATATATATATATATATACTGTATATATATATATATGTGTGTGTGTTAAGTTGTATAAGTATACCGCGTACTCAGTAGGATGCAATAGGGAAATTATGCGTAAAACTGTGCATATTTCACGGGATCACCCTCTTTTGTCCGTCCTGAGAGATGCATTTGGTTTCGCAAACCTTCTCTTGAGCCGAAACAAAACGTTGAGCCGAAACCGTCTCTTCCTCACAGGTCCCCCATGGTGAATCGCCTCCCCGCCGCGTCCCTGCTGCGTCCCGCACCACTTTGGATCCGTTGAACGTCGTCGTTAGGCAAAGCCCATGGCTCCAGCGACGGCCCTCATGCCTTCGCTCCTGGGAAAGCGCCACGAAGATCCGAAGGGTGCCGAAGGAGCTTTGCTTGAACGCAGAATGCAGCTGCATTCAAGGGCCGAACTGAACCCATTGCGTTGCACGCTTCTTGGCATCTGTGGAGCATTTCCAGTACCTAATCTGAAGCATCTAAGATTTCCAGTACCTAATCTGAAGCATCCAAGACAAAGTCTGTTGGCATATTGATACGCTTCAAAGAACAGGATCTGAACGAAAATGAGCGCACCCAGCCAGGTTGGTCCCAGCGAAAACAAAGATCATGATGTTCAGGAGCACCCAATCCTTGGCAAAGAATGGAGCTGCGTCGGGTGGCCGAGCCTGTAAGGGGTCGCGTCGCCCTAGGCAGCGGACCAGGCTAAAGTTGAGGATGTTCATGAAAAGGAAGACAGCCCAAAGCCTGAATGTTGCAGATGCAGTCCCAAATGCACTGCCATTGATTGCTGGTATTTATGTCGGATGGATACTGTATGGATTTGAGAATGTCTGCAAAGTCTGCTGTAGAGTCTACATCTTGACCAAAAAGCTTGGGAAGTCTGAGAACAAAGCACTGGCCACACATATGTGACACCCCAGAAAATGCTCCTGTCCTGGTTGACGTGCACAGCGGTTTCAGCCGCTCAAAAAGTCTAGTGACAGTGTCAAAGTGACAGATCGAAAGCGGGTGAACAGTAAGGTGATTGCGGTAGCATTCAGGCTGCCCTCATCTGGATTCGATTCAAAGACCTAAGAAAGAGTTCTTGAACATGGAAATGCCATACAAAGGAGCTTTTCTGGAATACTACTTGCTACTAGGGGCTCCTGGCCGTACTACTAGGAGCAAGAAGCTACTAGGAGCAGGACAGAGATTTCACATTATCAAAAAACGCCGGTGCGTCTCTTGGGATGCAACCCACTCGGAAGAACCGTCATCTTTGACTAGGTTCCACCACCGCAGGCCTGCAGGTCCGTTCGACCAAGAAATCCCAACGCAATCGAAGCTCTTCCTTCTCTCAGACCCAGACCCACCAAGAGTCTTCCAGAGATGTTCTTCACCTCAACAAGAAGTAGCGGCCATCCAAATCACCAAACTTATTGCTCCAACTTCACAGCTGTCCTGATGTCTTTCACTTGAAACACTTGCGAGCTGGACCCGGACCGTCCAGAAATCCAAGGCTGCAAAGATGGTGCAAAGGATGAACGTCGAGACCTCAGTCTTGTTTCTGATTCTAGTGTCAAGAAATGAGTCCAAACCCCCACTGCAAACCGAAGCTATGCATTGGCATAAACTGCCCAATACAAAAGAACATAATAAGCCCAGAAAGAATCTAACCCAAACACAATCGCCCGGAACACCACCAGTCCTAACGTAATTACAACAAACTTGGAGGTAATTCGTTATGACAAACAAGCAAGAATCTGAAAGACCTACAGTAGCAGCAGCAATGAAGTTGATATTCAAATCACTTTGTCGTGCAATCTCCATCCAAGCACCACAAAATGCTCCAAAAGCATGAGGGGTTGACAATTGAGATCCCAACATACGCACTGTGGATGTAGCGTCCATAGATGTATATCAGGAGCACCACCTCAGCTACAAGGAATGTCACAAGACACAAACACCCGCTAGCGAAGCCGAACAGTGTCTCGATCCTCCTGCCAGAAGTCGTAAAATGTAAAATTGAGTTGTCGTAAACGGAACACATGCACCATGAAGCAAAGTGATTGGCATACGGTACAGAGACCCAATCTGACTTGTATCACTTGTCTTGGATGCAAGTACTTTCGCGACCTGTTGATTGCGTGGATTGTTTTGATCCTCCGGGCTCCGAACAATTTTGAAGGCCGCGTGGAATACGCAGGTCGCAGGATGGGCTGCAGTCCTCAGAGAGTGGCACGAGCTGTCGCTGAAGCCCGCTTTGTTGGTTCAAAGTCTCCAGTCGGGTATATAAATATAGAACTTATAACTATATATAATGGTATATACGAAGCCAAGGGCAAAACTGCAGCATCTGTACTAGCCGATTCTGCGAGGCCTGGAGCGCAACTGAAGAACTGCAGCATTGACCTTGTGAAGTTCCATGGGTTCCGGACCTCTGCGTTTCCACCCTGAGCTCCACCCCGAGGCCTACAGCGATGTCCAAAGCATCCCAAAGCGTTCACAGTATATAGAAATGCACTTACTTATCAACTGCATGGAGCGGCGTTGATCAGTCATTCATACAATCGGAAAGGAATGAATGAAGTGTCCCTTGTTCAATCTCTGCAGCTACAAACTACATCCATGATCTATTCAGGTTCATGGAATAGTGTTGTCAACACAGCACAGAGACAGCTGGGCTTTCAAGCACATCGGGTGACATCGACACTGCATCGAAGGAAGCGGGCTCAGCGGTCGGCATGTCGCCTCACAGACCGGGCTGAAGGGAGGAAACCTCCTCGTCTTCACTTTGAGGCTAGTTAGGAACTGAGAGTTTGGAGCCCAAGTATCAGGATCCCGTTTGTTTCCCTGCTACCACTAGTCCGACACTGGAGTTACATGATATACGGCCCGGCTTGCACGACCCTGGCTTGCAATGACACTAGTAGCGATGCCCCTAGTAGCGATGCCAGGAGCCCGTAGTAGCGAACATTGTTCCTAGTAGCTGAGAAGGGGGGGACGAAAGCCAGCTGCCGCTTCATTATGTGGGTCCCTGTACGTGGGGGTCCCTGTCTCCACTCGAGTCCTATATGCCCATTGTCCAAGTAGTCTCCAAAGCCCTTCATGATGCTAATGATGCACTTCTCGGCGTCCATTACATCAGACTCGCATCACTAGACCCCATTTTCACTGCTTTTCGGACCCTCGCTTTGGAGCGCTCTCCCCCACCAAGCTCTGGATTCACCCTATCAAAACGTTCCGCTCAGCGACCACCCCACCCCCACACCCCCTTAACTCACTTCGTTCGCCCTAAAAGCTCAAGCCTTGCCTATCGGCTGGCTTTCGTAATAATTTGTCGGATCAGAAACTTGGTTGCTGAATTGATGCTCGTGCTGTCCTCTTTTTGCAGAGAAGAGGATCTCCACACTGATTCTTCCCTTCCGTCTCAAACCTTCAATCGAATCCAGGCCTTGCGGTTCACGACGTGAATGCGTCACGAGACTCACAGGTGAAGAATGATTTCGCCAGAAAGCCAAAATGAGAAGCCTCTCAAAACCAAGTTAGAAGTCGTGTCTTCCTTCACTTATCGCATGAATCTTGAATAAGTCTTGGTAAAGTCTCTTGCCTCTGCAGGTCCTTTCCTTTGAGCCACAGATTAAGACTGAACAAAATATGGGATCACACACGCATAATTGACCCACGTGGACAAGCACAAGCTCTGTGTGGTATTTGTCCAAACACCACACGGACTTTTCTGCTTTTGCACTTGGGCTCTGGAGTCGCCTCCTGCTGTGATTCCAAATGCTTTGCCGCAGCTCGGTGCAAATCTGCTGCCGCTTCTCCTGGTTCTTGACCACCTCAAGATGAGACTTCGAGAAAAGAAACGATTGTGAACAAGCAAACCCTCAGACACGTTAGAGATGACTGTCTACAAATCAAAAATGAAAAAATGCAAGATTGCGTGAAGTCCTTAATTAGCTCCCTCGTTGATCACAACCTACGGTTTGCAGTACGTACTACCCTCGGTTCAATGTAGTCTTACGTTTGCAGCGTCAGCTCGCACAACAAGCCGTGAAGAAATCGCAACGCTCCTTGCAGTTAAAGAAAGAGTCGAACGGATGAATGTGGATTTGACTCTTTAGACTCCACGCTGGCACCGACCAGCAACTCCTCGCCTCCTCAGTGCGCTGACAAAGCTCTTCTAGCAACTCGGAGGCCTCTGTCATGTCTGACCACAGCAGCGGTCCGCGATCTTTGCCACGAAGCTCCCCCCAAAACATCCAAAGCTTGAGCGATGTATGCTAGCTGCCTTAAGTGCAGCTCCGACCACATCCGTCTGCTCTTGACATCTCTGATTGAAAAGCATCCCTGGACCATCTGTTGCTGAATGTTAGGCAAGCAACCATGGTCGGAGGGAAGAAGCCAGAGCCCGGCACCGAGGCAAAACCCTCCGCAACCTCTTATCGCAAAATGTCCAAGCGGAACATGTGCTGGACATGCTGGATTATACACGCAAGTTTGTATCTCAAAGGGATGTCTTAGAACTGAAGGTATGCGTTGACATCTATGCTGATCTTGCGATCTATTCTGTCGCACAGCGAGACCAAACCAACGGCATTCCAAGTTGCATTTGAAGTGCTGGACTCAGGCCAATCACAGGTGCAGCAGCAGCTGCCGCGCTAAACAAAAGTGCAACCTTCACACTTCGTGAGTGGTGAAACGCCAAACTGCGCACAATTCTTGGCTGCGAGTCTTGAAATCCGTGGAATCCGATGAGTACATTGAATGTGTCCTTTATATAAATGATTATACATGCATGTAGATGGTTATTCCATGTTATTCCGTTGGAGGCATCGGCCCCGCTGTTTCGCTAACCGAGATGCCTGGGGCCGGCGGCAACGTTCGGGCCACCGAGCCTTGCCTGCTCGGTTTCGAGTTCGGAGTATGGCAAAGGCTCAGCAAGGAGTTCGAAGAGTGTGTCCCCACCGCGGCCTGGGCAGTCCGAAACTGAGTCTTCTCACTGAGCCAAGCAACCTCAGAACTGAACTCAAAACACTTCAAAGGGTAACGGTAACTGCAGCAACTAATAGCAGACCAAACTTGGACTCGGTTGACCGAACATTTGTGTCAATTTCCTCGTTTGACCCGAATTGGTTGGACACACCCGGGTGGCTGCGACGCATGCGACGCATGCGACTCGTGACCGCCATGTTCGCCAAGGCTCGAAGACGCATCGACGCGTTCAGTGCCACACAGCGCGACGGAGGATCGAAGTGTTGCACCTGACGCCCAACATACTCCTGGGACACGAGTTATTAGTGGGAAGAACTGGGCCAAAAGTATGGAAAGATGTAAAAAAAGAAAAATAAAAAGAAATCAGCCAGCGCCAAAAGATCGAAGGTGAAGGGTTCAAAAGGATACAAAAGGAATCAAGAGTAGAAACAAACACCTACAGTGACCTACAGACTCACAAACGACTCTGTCACGTGACTGCATTCAGAATCCCGCGTTCCTCTAGTGGCCACCGGGTCAGGGCATCCTTCATGCTTTGACTCGGTCGCAGGGGAGACCGCTGCCGTGCCAAGCCACTCATCAGTCCAATGAGATCTGCCACAGTGAACAGCTCGTTGAGGTGAGGGGAAAAGCACAGTCTCTCCTGCGGGAGTTCGTTCTGAGGTCGAAGTTGGGGGAGTTGCTTGGAAACTCATGGATCCCTTCGTACTACCAAAGTCTATTTATGCAGCAGATGCAGTAAATATATAGATACAACTCACCAACAAGATCAGCATTTGAGATGTCCAGCAAAACACCTTCATGAGAATCTCCGAGCTCTTTAAACAATAAATCCGCTAAAGCAGCGGCTTGCTGCGCCCCAACAACTGTCCTCCAAGGCATCGTAGAAGGGCGCCACTTGGGCTTTTGGTGCCCCAACAATGCCAAGACAACGTGCCAGTTGTGCCAGCTGCCAAGGTTGTGCTGTGGGCAATACCTCCAGGGAAGGTCTACAAAAAGGTGGCAGAGACGTACCAGGCGGAGACTCCCCATCCAAATTCCGGATGTGTCCTGCAATCACTGAAGACCTCCCACCCTACAGGAGCTTTGCCAATAAAACAGGAGCTTTCCGGAGTCCATTTTGCCGGAAGAATCCCACCTCCACGCAACGTCCTGCAAAGCGTCCCCAGGCGTTTGCACCTTGAGGCGTTTCCATGGTCTCCAAAGGATGTCGAGCTGCTCGCTTTGAGCCCGCCAAGGCCATGCAGAGTGCGGTCACGGCAGAGGCATCCCACCTCCACAGCGTCTCCTGCGAAGAGAACCACCTGTTGACCAAGTCTCCTGTCGCTTCATGTCCAAGTCTCCTGCGTCAGTTGTTGTCCCTTCATGTCCCTTCTCAATCTGGTTTGAACCAAGTTTGTTTTTGGATTGTTTTGGTAGATCTCAATTGGAACATCTCCTGTGCAAAGTTGAAGATATGCCTCGAGAGGATAGCATCATGGTTGTGCTGCAGCCTCACTTCCAAGCAAGGGTCTTGCACCCAAAGCAATTGCTCCCATCCTCTAAAAGCATTTTAAGAATGTGCGATCAGGACAGGAGTCTGACTCTAGCATTCATATATATATATATATGTATATTGGGTGAATTTCCCCTCACACAAAAATGGGTCTTCTCTGGGTCAAGACCAAACACCTCAAAACCAAGGGATCACTTGACAGTGTCTGAACGCTTCGGATCATTTTGGAGGATCAACCGTTCGGACCAACCAACCGTTCAGGTCAACCGGTTTGGGCGAAGTGTCTGGATCTAGTTGGCTGTCAGTTCACCGTGTTCACCCTCTGGCCTTGTGAAGCTCTCCAGCAGCTGTGCTGCTTGGAAGGGACGATCGCGCTGAAGCGCCACCTGTGGCACGCCCCGCACGTCATCGGATCACTCAAAGCTTGTAAACCCCCCAAAAGGGCCGACATCTGCTCATCTCATCTGCTATGGAAAACGAAGCACGGCCAACACAAAGTCAGCTCGTATCCAATTGCTATGTGTATCATTGTGTTCTATTCATGTTCAATCCAACAGAGAATAAGCTGGTTGAGCCATCTTTGGACGCCAGCCTTTCGCACCTGCTTTGCAAGGCGGTTCACATATCGCGGACTCAACGAGGTCGCTGTGTTTGCTCGAGACAGTCCATGCACGATCATTTGCAGGTCTTGGGCAGAGGCCTCCTACGGGTTTGCGCAGAAGTTGGATAAGGGAGGACCAGGTAGGATCATTCAATTTGATAACACGGAACTTCAGATTCTAAGCATAGGGTATACATGAGTTGTCGTGCAGCATGATGGAGCATTGATGTCGCTGACTCCCCGCAATCACACAGTCTCAGATCCTCATCTCCTCACAAACTTCAACTGCTCTGCGTAAGAGACTTGATGCCACCGTCCCACAATACACTGGTTCTGACGCCAGTGCGTTGCAAAAAAAGAGCAAGCTCTCCTTATCACATTCGTGTTCACACCATGGCTCGAGTATTTTGCGTATGAGCTCCAAAAGATCTTAGGTGCAAATGCCTTGTCGAGTCATATCATTCCTCTGCATCCAAGGGACTGGCTGTCAGCTCACCCTCTTTGGCCTTCAAAACCTCAGCTGCAGCATGGCAACGTGTCTCTGAACGTCTCCTTTTTTTCGTCCCGTCAAGGTTTTGAGCCCAAGGAACGTGCACCACTTCATCCCAAAACGCATCCTTCTCCGAGCCCAAGGGAAGACTGGAAAGTCTCTGGACTGCACAAGCAAAGTCCCATAAAGAGCTGCCAATCTCGTCGCTCCGGGACTGCAGCAACTCCAATGGGGTGGAGTTCGGATGTCTCTCGCTGTGTGCAACTTGCCCGTTGCTCGTTTCACTGCATGATGGCTCTCCGCTCTACCTGCCCCTACCATGAAGACACTTACACCCTAACGTGTCGCAACTTCTTCACCTTCCACAACTCTGCGTGTTCGGTCCCCACAACTCTGATTTGAACGATTACTATCGCTGAAGAAAGCTCGGCTTCCCGTGTCCGGCGAACGGCCGAAACACCATCGTCTTCCGGACGTCTTCGACCAGTTGATCGACGTCCCAAATGACACGGTTGACCGTCCGATACACGTTCGTCATCAAGCGGAATAAAAATACATATATTACTATATAATATAATATATATATATAGGAGACAGCAGTGATCCAGCAACTAGCCCTGGTGGCGCAGTTCCCCAAGTACTACATCTTTCAAGGATTGCTTCCCTCTCGTCACTCGTCGTAGCTCTTCAGTTTGACTGTGGTAGAATTCTCTGAGAACGTGTCCATCTGCGACTAATGACCTTAAAATCCTGACACACCTTTTCAACCTGAGGAGCCCGAGCTTCTAGTTTGTCCAGTCGCCTCGCCTCCCGCTGTTGTCTTAAGGCCGCTGTGAGACCTCCGATGAGGTGCTCCACACGCTGCTGGTTGGCCTGGCGGATCGCCAGCAGCACTTCCCGGGAGGCATTGAAGCCAAGCCCCCACATGGCGGCAAAAGGCGCATCGAAGTCATGGCTGAAATGGTTTTGAGTCTTGAGCACACAAAAACTCATTGGATGCAGTTGGCATAACCACAAAACTGATGTTGATTTCTGTACTATGTTTTGTATTATGTTATATACTTTGATTTACTTGGCAAAGCTCAAGTCCAAACAAGATCACTGATTTTGACACTGCGACTCAACATGGAATTTGGCCTTCAAACGACGCACAATTCGTAGCAGCAGCATTCTCGTTACCTTGATCTGTCGAGCAACAACGGCATGCATGCCTATTACTGTATCACTGGTCACAGTCTGAATCATCAGCTTCTCCGCTTTGCATAGCAGATGTGGCAGTTCTACATTTGCGCATGTTTTTCCTCGCTGGCTGGCATTCCAACGCAAGTCACTGGAACACCAGCTGGGAATCAAGATTCAGCTTTCCTTTGCCTGCAAGAACAGCCACAAACTACTGCAAAATACTGGTTGAAGAGAATGAGTCCCTGATAGAGAGAGCGGGTGCAAGGGATATGGTCCTCAGGTGGCCCTCAAAGTTCCGTCCGCCTGGATCGAAGCGTCGAGCTGTCGCTTTCCAGTGCATAAGTCCTAAGCATTTCACATGCCATACCTGGCCTAACAAGAAGGTTCACTGGATAGAGAAGCATTTCACATGCCACGGCTCTTGAGCAGTTCTTTTTCATCCCTTGCTCTCGCCTGAAGAGCCGGTCTTACTCTCCGTTTCGAAGAACAATGGGGTAACACATAGAGCAAAGCTTGGCTGTGACACCTGACACCTAGAGTCCCAAAGCACCATCACAGCATATCACAGCTCCAAACATGCGAGATTGTACGCTGCAGGCGAATTCTGCAGGGTTCCCAGCCAGTTTGCGTGCAAGATCTTTGGTGGGTCAAAACACCAACCACGCCAGAGGACAGATAAAATCGACGCACAGCATGCTCTGCTCTCCCTGCAGGACTCTTCAGGCGTTTCCTTTTGACCCACACCCATCTCAGTTTCTCAGGACATGCACGGCAGGAAGCAAAATTCACATCGATTCACATGTTGAGCTCAGGTGTGTCTTGAAGGTTCTGCCACTCGGAACCTATGCCTCCCTGCAGGAGTGAAACGCATCGAGCACCCAAAGTCTGCAAACAGTGAAGCAACAAGCCCAGCTGATTCCATGCAGGCAAACCAGAGACCCAGCCAGAAAATTGAAATCACCACAACAGGTCTCAGAAAAAGACAACAATAAAGAGTCGGAGAGTCTCTCTGACTTGGTCCTGAAGGATAAATCAAGGAATTGCAGGCAACCGCGACGCGTGAGTACGCAGGCTTGTCAGCTTCTTCATGCTTCTTCTGATTGTCAAATGTTGTGGAGCTCCTCCTTCAAGATGTCTCGGTTCAATTCAAACCCCATTCAGCCCATTCTTATGATTCATATGCATCTCATGCAAAGTATCTTTCCAAAAGCTGCTGAAAAAAGGAAGAGGAACGGTCACTGACAATCGCTCCTCAACACCGACGCTCGGAACCTGCCAATCCGAGGCGCTATCCGTGTCGTCAGAACCGTCCAACAGTCGGCAAACGTTGCCTGCCAGCAATATGCGACAGAAGGCCAATGCTGAATTCAAGCATTCAAGCAAGCACAGAATTTGTGAAGAATGGCAATCCAGCGTTTTCAACCACCGTTTTTCTACTAGAGACCGATCCAAGTTGCGGGTGCAGGGATGGTCACCTCATGTCGCACAATGGGGAGAGGGTCCGACTAGCAAATCCGACCGACTTACCTACGAGGCCCCCAGATGAAGAATGACATGGAGAATGACACCGTGACGGTTCCCTTTGCGCCAGAAATTGAGGCCAAGACTTCCCAAGAGGCGTCGGTGTGTATGAAGTGCTTTCCTCAATGCATGCTCGCCTCGGTGGCAAGTTGCCTGCAAAGAGTGGTTGCGTTCGCCGGAGCATGTTAAAGAGGACATCATTTGCTCAAACTGCACTAGGCCAAGCTCCCGCTGCAGCATTGTTCTCTGCAAGGAAACCACACTTCAGCACCTTCCATGGCGTATCATCGCTCTTCTCAAACCAAAGCGCCAACACCGAAGAGGCAGCGCTGGACTTGCCGGTGTTCGAAAACCTTCAAACTGGACCCGACTCTGCCGACTCTGCCTTTCCATAGTCCTTCAGAGCATCGGCAAATTGTATTGTGTCTGCTTTCCCCGCTTGCCTCAAAGCATACACCGCCATGCGGCCATGCAAAAACCATACTACATCATACACCCTTTTCGTGAGACAACCCTCAAGAGTTCTGAGCAATTCGGCATTATTCACATGTTCTTGATGTGTCTGCAAAGTGCCTCTCTAGGGTGGTCATCTTCAAGACATGCACATATGCAAGCCCCTTTTGGCCAAGATGCTGGAGGCACCGAAAGGCATGTCGGAAATACTTCCTGAGACTATCCAGTTGGTCTGTAACCATGCCAGGCTCAGAAAGAGGGGAAAAGAAAAAACAACAAAGAAACCATGTGGCAAGGAGCACTCCACGTAACCACCCACATCGTTGGAATTTGACAGACAAGCTGCAAGCACCGCTTGCAGGCATGATCAGCGTTATCCCTTGCGGCTGATGCCTCACACTGTCGATTCGTGGTTGAAGTAGTAGAAGTTTAATGAATCGACCGATTACGATACACACCAAAATTCCCAAATGGAGACAAACATGAACAAACTTGGACAAATGGTATACTGTGTTGAGCTTGCGAGCTCGACAATTCCGACCTGACAAAAGAAGCATTCGCCGAGCGCAGCATACCTAGCAAAGTCGAGTTCGCTGTGCACAACACAGACTGTGTGACTGTGTAAACTGCACAAAGGAGCTTGACCTTGCTTCTAACAAATTGGCATTCCATAAAGTCACACATCGTCCAAGTTGCAGAATACCTTCTGCAAGCAATGAAGATTGGCCTTGGCCAGCTACCTGCAAAAACGGCATACTGCATACGTTGCTAAATGTTCATCCAGCAGGCATGGAGATGCACGGGGCGAGACATGACAACCAAATGGTTCCTTTTGTGAAAACCTGAGGTCCAGGGCTCAATGTCTCTGGTGTATCATCACGTTGCCAAGTCTTGCTGCTCGGTCAAATTTGATCTTTGTTTGATCTGGTTGGTTTACTGCACTGTCTTCGCACTGGGGATCGGGGTTTTGCCTTTCAAGAGTCGCCTCGTTCCAAATCGTGTCGCTGCAACTTTCAGGGAGACACATACAATCTTCAACATGACCCTATTTAGAATACTCAAAATCAAAGCTTCTTTGGCCTATACCTCACTTATTCTTTGACCCCAAAATGGAAGGCGCACAACCCAACTTCCCAGCTTTGATCCCGAAGGCCCGATGCCCATCTGAAAAATAGAGAAAAACAAAAGCACACTTTTCAGTGCTGTGCACTGCCATCTCAAGCATTGTAAATAAATCATCTTCCAAAGCACCTTTTGCACATTACTTACGCACTCACCGAGGCAAACTCGACAAATACGCTGCTTGTTGTCGCTTCTTCTCGTACTTGGCACAATCCAGGGGGGTCTTGCCCGCAGCATTCTTTTCGGACAAAAGCTCCGGCGCCTGAGCGAGTTTCGGTTCAATCGACCCATCTCATTCATGTTCAGAACCCGAAACATCCTATTCAACAAGTGAATCCTTGAGACTGAAGAGCATCGATGGCCCTGTGAACCAGAAAGCGTAGCAAGCCCATTGTCTTGTCTACACCCCATGACTCAATATTGCCTAGGTGCATGGCAGTCTGCTGCATATTGGGTGTTCTCACACGCAGCTCTGCTCCAGCTGCAATGAGCAAACGAACTTCATCGACTTTGCCCCAAGATGACGCTGCAAGCAAAGGCGTCATCCCCACTGCAAAACCACTGCCGCTGCCCTCAGACAGAGTGTTGGGATCAGCCCCTGCTGCAAGCATCTTCAGAAACCTGGGCTCCGGCGTTGAATGGGGCCTTCGGGGTCGAAAAGTTCTTTGACAATTCACCTTGGAATGTTGAAATCGACCTCTAAGGTGACATTTGACAGTTCACGTTTGCCGTATCATTCAAGCCGGGCACGTGCCTGCTACAGTACGTGCTGTTTTGATACTACGAGTGCCGGTGTGGCTGGCTGCCTGTACATGAAAACGCGTCCCTTAGATTGCAGAACGCCCACAACGAAAGGAGTACGGACAATCTAACACAGCATCGATGCAGCATCTCCCAAATTTGACATAGCCAAGCAGTGCTTCTGAGCCTGGAGCAAGCCCTTCAGTAAAGCATGAGAGCAATCTCTGGTCTGAATGTCTTGGAAGCTTCTTGGTGGCCTCTGCCCTGCGAACAAACGCCTCAGTTTCATGGAGTTTTAACAGCAGATCTGGCGTTGCTGTCAATCCTCGGATCTCGATGCCTTGCCGCAGCAACTCCTCTTTCACCTCTGCCGGAGACCGTTGGTCCGGGCAAAGCGCCCGCGTGGGCGGAAGCGCGAAGCCAGCGTGTCTACCCGGCACGGAGAGAGGCCGCGCTCCGGGCATTCCCATTTTCGCCGGGACTGATGTCATACCCGTCATTGAAGTTGGCATGGATGACATGGATGGAGCGACTGGCATGCTTGGCACGCTTGGCGTAGCTGGGAATGATGACATACCAGGATTGCCCATCATGCCAGGCAGCGTGCCTGCGTTTGCCATGCCCCAATTACTTGACATGTTCTGTATGGCACGTGGAAGGTTTTGCATGCTCCCTCGTGCCGCTACATCGTCCGTTTTGGCACGCTTCGTCGGAGGGCCCTCCCAGAGCTGCATGGGAATTCTTGGGTGTTCCCCAGGCTGAAGTTGGGATAAGCTACAAAAAAAAGCTGCCAAAGTTTTCGATTGCTCTACTCACTGCTCAAGTTCCTCTTCTTTTTTCTCCTCTCTCTTGCTCTCTCCGAGAACTGCTTCCAAACACAACTGACTCAACTGACTGTGATGTAGGTATTAGCATTTGGAATCAAGTCAAGATGGTGTCGCTTGAGCAAGGCACACAACCCATACAAAAGCACCATGCACCCAACACACAGGAGAAAGAAAAACAATGCATGACAATTGCAGCCAATCATAATCAAGCCCCAAGGGGATGGAACCTGGTGCTAAGCCCTGCCTCTGCAATTGCACTCCGCAACCTTGTCAAAAGAAAAAGAGCGAGGGAGGGAGTGAGAGGTGGTGGCAGGGTGATCCAAAAAATTACGAAACCTCCGTGGATTCCATTAGGAATGTCAACCCACTGTGGTTTGGAGGTTTGGTTTGACTCACAGTGCGGTGACACCACGGTGAGAAGAACATCCACTCACTAGTCTGGTCTACCTACCAGACTTATCAAACTTCAAATCTGCACTACGAGTATCATTTGAATCCATTCAAGCATGGCTTCTGCCAAGTGGCTGCTCTTCGGCCATATTGAACATCTTCTGTGGGCTTTCCCAGCGGGAGAGTAGACGCTCTCGGGCAGCGCCTGTCTTCAACAATGCCCCACCTTTTGAGAGGCCTTGTATTTGGCACATTTATGCACAGTCTATGACAAACCTTTAGATTGCATCCAAGGAAAGTGAAGCTTAGAAATGTCCTTTTCCATCAAACAGGAAAAGAAACTAGACGACGAGTGGCCCGAAAGCATTTTTCATCACGTAGGAAATCAGAGTGCGAGTTATCCGGTAAGTGTGTAGTGAGAAGTGTTAAGTCGAGTGAGTTGAGGTAGTGTGTGGGTTTCTGTGCGTGTGTCTATGTCCGTGTGGAAACGAGTCTGCGTATGTGTGCGTTCGTGGAAGTTGAGGGAGCGTGTGCGTGTTTGTGTGCGATGCGGCCTCCCAAACCCCCCACCGGCGGCCAAGCGGTGACAGCCCAGCTCATCGTCGTGAGCATTTGGGCTGCTGGTAAGGGGACAATGGCAGCCAGCGTGCTGGCTTACCCACTTCAACTATGATGGCAGCCAGCGTGCTGGCTTTGCCATCTGGACAATGGCAGCCAGCGTGCTGGCTTACCCACTTC